TTCACGTATTAATAACAAATGTATACCTCTCACTTCGCACGACTTTTCTTCTTTCTTTTTATTTTCAGTCTTTTCACCACTGTATATATTTAGTTTTCGTTCCGCGTTCTTCAGCGCGAAGTCACGTGAAAAACACAACTTCCTCCTCTTATGCTGAACTTCGGCTCTATTATGTTTCGGTAACATGGAAAACTTGGAAGACACATTCCGTTCGCCTTCACGTTTCATACGAAGTCGACATTACGCTGATCGAAACACCGGAGTGTCTCGGAACGCCGACCGCGTTTCGCACGTACGCGCGTATGAAGAAAAAAACGAGCAACAGATAAATGCAATCGCTTGCTTATCTTCGCGTAATTATACTCAAACTTTTCTGCCGGGTCACGTCTGAAAAACATTTTGCGCCAATAAGAAAAAAACGCGCACATAAGAAAAAAAACGAGTAACCTGTCCGTCTCAGAAATATAAATATGAGAATATATTCGCGCTAGTTTTTTAATCAATAAAAAAAGGATTCCAGATTCAATGACAAGCGCGTCAATCACAGAGATTCCCGTAATAAAAACGCTCCGTGGAGTGCGTCAATAAAAAAGAAATGTCAAATATATATATAACTTTCATTTGCTTCGTATATGGTAAAAAATCCCTACCATTTTGATTATTTATTGCTGAAACACATCATTGTCGAGTGACTCGCGCGGTTAGCCTCTAAATTATTCATGCCGAATTTAGTACAAGACATCGCATTTCCTTCGCCTAAAACGGAAGGATGACAATGTATGGGGCTCGAAGAGTCCCTGTTGCGCAACAAGAAACCTAGATACTTTAAAGCGCAACGCGCTCGTACATTGCGTCTCACAACAGCGTGTTTTTGATCACATTTTTAGGCACATGGAGTCGATTTGGACGACACGCGAGAATCGTCATATATAAGTATGCAATTTGATTTCCGCAAGGTAAAGCCGAGGAAAAGAAAAGCACAAGACGACACGAGTCAGCGGAAACGCAAGAACGCGCCCGGATGTGTGAGATCCTTTCGAAATTTTAGGGGTCAACGAGAAGGTGCACGTCGAAACTGAGAGGTTGCTCTCGGCTCTGAACTCTGAACTGAGGAGTCACGTTTGCTCTCTCACGAGTACCGATCCATATTTCACGCGATAGCGCGATACTTGCCCACGCGCGTCGATCTCGTCGTCGCCGTGGTACGTCAATCGCCCGAGAACCGGTGTGGTTCCGGATTTGATCGCGTGTCAGGAATACCGATCGTATGATCGTGATCGTTAGTAGAAATCGAATAGCCGAGTGAGTTTAGTTAGACAGTTTAATCGAGATAGATGCGGATCAATGCGACCGTACAGTGGTCAATCACGTCGACGCGCTTAGATCGGGATTATTCGCTCGAGTAGCGCTAAGGAGAGCTTAGCTTGAAGCTAACAATTTCTAGGACAAAGAGAAAAAGTGACAGGCACGAGAAGATACATACGAGAGGCGAGAGAAGAGATAGACGAGGAAAAAGAGAGAAGGAGAGTAACATCGAGAGATTCGCTATAGAGCCCCTATTAGGTCTATTAGGATAAATATACGAGAGCGTCTTGAACGTTTCTAAAAAGTCGTTTTAAGATAGAATTCAAGGACTTCGTTTTTGGTCGGGACAAGCTTGTTCGGCGGGCTTGACTGAGTCATTTCGACAGTTCTTCGTCGATTCATTGGTCCTTGCTCGAGTGTCTTCTCGAATTCGTTGGATCTCGAAGGAAGCTCGTATGTGTCGGGCGCACGCGAAGATCATCCCGTAAAAACGATGCTCACGTTACCTCGTTGTATCGATATTTCTGTCGGTCACATTCACCTTATGCATCTCTTATGGCACGCAGAGTAGCAATTGAATCCATCTCGACGGAACGAAAGGGGCAAGAGCGCTTGATACGTATATAGAATTACGCGTTTATCGAATTTCCATTTCGTGTTCCCGGAAGATTCATGCACACAAATGACGACAACTCGTGTTCTGTCATTCGTTGAAAATCAGATTGTACAAATTGCTCATACATGAGGAGACATCGAACGATCTTAATTGTCTCGTTTCAAAATCGCTCGTGACGCGTTTTTTTTTCAAGTAGGACGTTGTCACGCGATCCAATCAATTATTCAAAACTGAACGTGCATCCAATTATGACACGCTATACCAATGAGAAATATTTGCTTGTTTTCGTACGTTCCGTCGAAGTGGATCAGTAACAAGTTTAACGAATTATTTGTCCCGACCAAGCGCAGAGAGATACTTTTTCTTCATAATTGCGGTCTATGACTCATAATTTATATTATAACATATCATTGCAAGTTATCGTTATTACGTTATACGTATAATNTATATATATATATATATATATATATATGTGTATGTACATATATATAGTACATACAATACACAATGTACTTTTTTATTTAAATATATATCCTCTATCTCGAATGTGTATCTCCTAATAATATAGAATAGTTCACGACCCGCTTAGGCCGTTCTCTAAGACTAGACGATTCTAATTCAGATGGAAAGACGCGAAAGCGAACATAGCTAACGAATTTTGCATGGTGTTACAGCTATAGATCAGTATCGTCTACGACGATTATATCTTCGAGTAACGTTGAGATGTGTTTGGTATATCCGTTGGTTCGCTCACAATCTACACACAACTCTAAAACCGACAAGAGCTCTTTAATTCTGTCTCGAGCGTAGCGACGGATGATTCTGGTACTTAACATTCTTGTAGCAATGAAGCAAAACAATTAGTGAAACAATAGAACGTGAGATCAGACTCAGTCATTAGTAAATTGCGATTTTGCAATTAATAATTGATACGTTAAACTGTTGAACAAGTATTTTTGCGTCAAATAATAATTTCGTTTACACGTTCGTCCAAGTATGAGAAATTGATTCTCCATTAAAAGTTACGATATATATATGTAATTCGTAGATATCTCTAGACATAATATTATTTCAATTCTAGTTTACATAATTTGATTCTCTTTAATACCAAAATCTTTCGTACCGAAATCTTGCATTTTTCGATAAGAATTCCCGTTTTTAGAAAAATGGAAACTATAACGCTTCAAATTCACGTCAGTGATTTGAGGAGTAAAAACAAAAATAGTTGCAATTTTGTTGTGGTTTTACGTAAATCGGTGGAGTTGAAGAAATCGCGAGAGGATTGACATGAGCATTATGTGCATGGACTTATTTTGGCCATCGGTACCGCTAAACGGCTGTTCGTCATCAATCGTAGAGAAAAATTTCTGTCTGAAGAAAGTGAGAAGACGCAGATTAGTTTGACTAGATTTGGTGAGGAATCCTTAAGCTAAGCTGTACTAGAGAGCTAAAATAGGTAACATATGTATCGGCTACATATGTCGGTGGTATTTCGTTGCGTCAAGAATCTCGCAAATTTTTTTTTTCGCTGAGAATCAAAGTGGATTCTCCTAGAATGTTCAAAACCTACTAGGACAATTCTCTTTCTTTCTTGCATCACTTATAATTAGTATAAAAATAATTGGGCAATTTTTAGCAATCTGTAGGAGACTCGGAAACGTCCCAAAAAAGTGTCCTCTCTCGCTTTTGTGTTTAGACTGGCTTCCGGTTTTGTACGGTGATTCGAACGAAATGGAAGGTATCGCGATGTTTCGCGACAAATCAGGTCATCGTCGTGCGGCGTATAAATAGCAAATCGACAGAAAGCGTAACAAATCGATAAATGAAATATTCGAACACCATATTCTTACACTTTTTTGGTGACTTCCGCAAGTCCGAAACATTCAACAATGTTCTTACTTCATTTCTTTTATCCACTTATACAGAACGGCTTGTATAAAGTCACACAAGGCATTTTCTCAGAAATTATCAGCGACAGTAACGAAAACCTTTTAAGAGTACTAAAAGCACTGTAAAACATGTCTGTTGCTGTCACAAATAATCTTCAAGAAAAATAACTTGTAACATTTTACACAAATCATCCTGCGTACTATTAAACGGGACCCAACAAGTGTTAGTTATACATATTGTCTTATATAATGCACGTCGCTAATGTTTCAGTGCCAAACAAAAACGCTTCTTTGGTATATATGTTTCTCAAATATCTCTCTTACTTCTCGAACTGTTTATCATGCGATATCACGCAGAGTGAGTTCTTCGTTATAAAAACGGTGACGTAAGTAGAAGGGATAAAATGAAAAAAAACGAGAAAAATAAACAGACAGCAAAATTTTAAATAACTTAAATGATCTCTTTGTCATTTGCTTAGGTTCTAAGAACGCATATCTTAATTGCATTCCTCGTTGGTTCAATGGAGATTGAAACGATATCATAGTACACGATCATGATTTCAACAACAAAAAAAGAAATAAAAAATTTCTTTAACAAAAAAAGAAATAAAAAAAATAAGTTAAAATCTTAAATAAAAACAAAAAATAAAGAATTAAGTTTAGTTTATTATCGTTGCACATATCACGATATCACGCGGAATAAGATCTTTATTATAAACAGTGACGTCAGTACAAGCGATAAAATAAAAAAAAAACGAAAAAAAACAAATAGAGAGCAAAACTTGAAATAACTGGAATAAAATGATTTCTTTGGCATTTACTTTGGTCCTAAGAACGCAAACCTCAATTACGTTTCTCATTAGTTAAACGAAGATTGAAACGATATCATAGTACACGATTATAATCCTTCGAAAGAAAAAGAAATAAAGAAAGGATTAAATTAAAATCTTAAATAAAAGCAAAAAAATATTTAAATTTCATCTATCGTTGCACACACATCCCTTTTAGAGCGTATTAAAATGGATTCACGAATTACTCTAGCAGCACCTCTATATAACCGAACGTGATAAGAAGAGAAACTAAATCTGTGCGGACCTGCGTGGGAGACTGAAGGGAGTGTTCACACCATTTAAATATTCATCCGCGGAAATCCATCCGTAGCGTCGCGCGTCTAAATAAATACGACAAACCTCGTGAATATTTAAACGACAGTCTCCGGAATGAGTCCGGAGTTCACTCGAGTTTGGCACTCCAATTTGGCATGGATCGCTGACCGCGATACGGAATCGGCCGCGGGCATCGTCGCGAGCGTCGCGGATCGTTCTCGACACCTTACGTAACGCAGAGCATGACGAGTCACTCCCTTCCGTGCTGATGGCGCGTCTCCCGCTGACCAACGACGATACCAGGTATCGCCGAGTGCAGGTCGACGTGACGGTGGTTGATGTGCGCCTTCAGGTTGCGCTCGTACTTGGAGCTAAACGAACAATGAGGGCAACTGAAGGACGGCGCTTTGCCGCACTCGTAAAGCATATGCCGCTTCAGAATATATGCGTTCTTGTAACTCTTGCCGCATCTCGAGCAGGTGTGCCGACGGTCGTGCGTGAGGCTGGAGATGCTGCTGCTGATCGGCTGATTATTGTTGCGATTAGCGTGCCGTGACGGACAGTGCAGCCGAGGACGACGTTGCGGCGCCAAAGGTGCCGGCACGTCGCTCGTGGCCGCTGTCGTCGTCGCCGCCGCCGACAACGACGACGTCGTCGTCGTCGCGATGCTCGCGCTCCTGGAGACGCGCCGCGAACCGTCGCCGCTCCAGCTAAGCCCGGCGAAGAAACCTGCAAAAGACGCAAGCAGACGAGTCGACGGCACGATTAGTATCGTTAGGTCTGAGGGCTGATGAGAGCGCGCCCCTCATCGGGGGGACGCACGTTACTGTTACTGTTCTTTACAACGGCGCGGGCCATGCCAACAAAAAAGACATTCAAGATCTCAAGCTTAGCAACAACGAGCATGTGGCGTCGGGACTGGGAAAGGGGATCTTTCTTGAGAAAGAAGTGACGATAATTTTCTACTTATCGCGATGCCTTCCCGTCTTACGGAGAACGTGTTCCTCGTTGGAACGTCTGTGAATCGCCGTGAACGCGGAGGGCGATTTCTCTATAACATCGCGCCCTCCGTGATTATATAGTAAAAATTTTGTGTCAAAAACAGTCCACTGAACTTTTTGAGTCGCTTTAATATGGTAAATATGTTAAAAAGTAATATGTTAATAAGATAAATGCTATTTTTATACATTTTTGTACTTTGTAACATATCCCCTGTGTTATAGTAATACAAATCATTCAATGAACCCTTTTTAACACAAAATTTTCTACTGCATACGTTTGCACAGCAACGCTAAGGGCCATGACATACAGACAAATAAGGCAGTAAGACTGAAGCAGTAAGAAAATTGACCAATCATAGTCGATTATTCTTCTTAGGAGCAATGAATAATTGTCGAAAATCGACTGTGATCAGTCAATTTGTTTACTGCTTACATACAATACAAAATTTTGTGTTACAAACGGTTCATTTCCAAATTTTTATGTTACTCTAACAAGGTGAATATGTTAAAAAATAATATATTAACAAGATGAACATGTTAATTTTAATGTTAATTTAACGTATATATTTGTATATCTTTTAACATATTCCCCGTGTTAAAGTAACACAAAAATTTCGGTAGACCGTCTTTAACACAAAATTTTTTACTTTTATTTTTACTTTTTATTTTTTTACTACGATGTACGTCTTACTGCTTACGTTTTTCTGTGTGCCATGACCCTAATCCGATTTAGGATGCCTTTGGATAGCCTAATCTAGACCGTATTTTATCTTTGTCATGAATGCAAAGAAGGAATAAAATAACACTTTAGCACTAATAGCTCGCTCCCTGAACGAACCCTAAGACCGGATTAGCATTGCCCTATAAACGTAATCCGTAAAATGAAGTAAAATTCCATTCTCGGCGACAGGGGTGACTTTACCACCAAATGCGAGGATCTCGCGAACCGACGAGTGTCTGAGAAAATAACTGTCGAGCAAGCGCACAGCTAACATGAGGATCGCGATCGAGATCCGTGAATTATTTTCTTAGACATCGCGCGTAGTTCTGAGAAATTTCCTCCTTGTGTAAGCGGAGTTAGCTTAACTTATCAGAGTAATTTTGATAAGTTAGTCAGCCTGATATCCCACCTCGATGTACTGAAAAGATCTCGTTCTCGCTTGTACCGCTCGTTTCCGCCTGAAATTCATAATTGATTCCATCAGTTTTAGGTGAGATATTGAACAATCAGGTTAGGTGGCAATAAATCGGGATACTTTAACATGGGGAATATGTTAGAAAGTACAGAAATTCATGATAAATTAACATATTCACCTTGTTAATATATTACATTTTTGTCTTTATTCAAGATTTTAATTTATTTCTTTTTGTAGTTCTTTTTTTTTAATATATTGATATTATTTTGAATATGTTTGCATTGCAACTTTTGTGGTTCTTTTTGAACAATGGTACTTCTTTGGGGCGTTTCGACGTTCTTCTTATTTTTCGCCAATCAACCTTTTCGCACTCGTTATGCCCAAATAACAATAAGTTTCCGTAAGTCTTCCTCAATGTGTCCACACAGAGATTTACGTCCTTGATTGGAACACCTACGAAAAATTGAAATAGTCAGTATACGGAAGTGATGAGAATTTTCAAAAAGATTCAAAGCTCATCTTTGGAAAAGTAGTACTACCCATTTTATCTTCCACCGCTTGCATATATATATTAATGAATTGTTGCCATTATTTATTCGTATTCTCTTATAAGAATTCTACTTTAAAGCGAAGTTCAGGAATTTCGAAAACGTAAACGTAATTATACTGTTTTCGAAGTGAAAAAAGTGAACTCTTTTATTTAAACGCACTTTTTTCATACTGAATTTTCTCATAAAAATAATGTTTTCAATATCGAAATGTTGAATTGTAGAATTTCTAATATGACGGACGACATTCATTCATTTTAAATGTTCATTTACTGGAAAAACTCGCATGCTTTTTTACGTTAAAAGCCAAGTAAATGACTAATAACACACAAAATCAAATATCCAACGATAGCAAAAATATTTTATAGATGCATAAAATCATCTCTTACACTTGACGCGAAGTCCATGAAAGTCTATACTGAAAAGAAACGTTATTGAATCAATAGAATTTCTAACAACATGCGTAATTAGAGCGTAAATCTTGATTCAATATCGATATTATTGAAGCTAATAATTTATTGAAACAATACATAATATAGTAATTTTAATCATATTTTCCATTAAATCAAGAAAATATATTCTAATTACGCCGCTGTTGCAAATTTTATTGATTCAACAGCATTTTATTTTCTGCGTGCGATGAGATATTAGAATTACGGGATGAAGAGAACGCGGCGAGATGTTGCCTTTCTAGACTTTATTTTGCTCTAAATCGAATACAAGGCGATCTACAAATTGACAAAAAAAAAGAGGGAAACAAGCGTTTTGGAATGTTCGAAAAGTCCAAAAAAAAATGATATGTGTACGTAGAAAAAAACGGAAAGGAAGCACGATAGTAGAAAAACAGAACCCGAACGTTCGGTCCGTCGCGATCAATGCGAGATCTCGCGAATTTCTCTTCTCGCGATCAGCGTCTTAGATGCGAGATCTTTCTTTAATTCTTTTCTTCTTTTCTCTTTTTTTCTCGTAATTTACGCGATTGAGAAATATGAGTTCCTGCGCAAAATTGCGACTGACCCAGCGTTCGCTGTGAGTTCCTTAAGCGAGCGACTTTTCTTACGTGATATAAACGAACGCCTATAAACGGCGACGCGGCGATGAAGTTTCTCGCACTTCGCTACATCACGTTGTCTTTATACAAAGCGATGATCTTCGTATGGGTATTTACCAGTTGTTTCGCACGCTGATATGAACGTGCGTGTATGACGCGCATAACGTGTGTGTATATATATATATATATATAT